CCTTTTCTTGTTACCTTCATAGCCTTAGTGGTCAACTTGTCAGAATATTTGGCAAGGAACTAATGAAGTCATTTTTAAACAGGCAGATCCTGCACAAGCTCTGAGTGTCCCAGTTGTTCCTTTAGGGGCATTGTTGGTAGCAGCTTATGAGGTTTCATCTCGTTCACCATATGCACTGTCATGGTTAAATACTTTGATTTCAGCCGAGGGCATGATGGATCCTGATTTATTTAAAAGGCTGGTCTTGAATAACTTCTGTAAGTTTCTAACCCTGAGAAGTCTATAAATATCAGTGTACCATCAAGTAGTTATTTAAGTATTCAGGGAAATTGGTTCTTGACATGTTAGTTTCAGAGCCGTTATGACTTATTAGTATTAACAAGTTAGCACAAGGTAAAATTGGCGTGTGCATAGGCTTTTTGTTGCACTGTAGCTGGGGTATAGGTTATTTTGGGATCAGTAATAGTACCTTGGTTAACATCTAACAACTCTATCACTGTGAAATTACAAACTATTGATTCCTTTTCACTGATTATTTTGATTGAATTTATTTCCAATGCACATTTGATGTTTCAAAGGATCTGGAGACAATAGCAAGCCGTTGGATTGATACTATAATGCAAATATTGAATTATGCTTTGGCTTTAATTATTGTTTTCATGAAAATATATAATTAGAGAGTTCTTTTTCTCGTGTGTATTTTTAGCGTCATATCTTGTAGAATGTACATAGTTTTGGAGCAGTCAGTTGGGCTTCACAAGCTATTTGTTTTGGTCTCTTAACAGAACTTCTGTCTGACATAAAAACACACCCTTCTTTTTAATGCCCATTTGATACTTATAAAAGCCATACCAGTCGCTCCATTTTATGGATGTTCAGAATTGTATGCAGTGGCATATCCAAGACGATGGCTCACGAGGTGCAGACTATTGAACTTTAATTAACAATAACTTCTTCTAATACATGTTTTTGTTTATAAAAAAAATTGGAAAAGGAAAAATTATTATTAAAAATGGTGGCACTAATTGTCACTTTTTACAACTGTCCCGGTCAAATTTGAATTCTGTCCCTTGAGGTTATACATGTGATTCACACACATATATCTAAATAAATTATAAAAAGATTTAATCCATCTACTCAAATAAAATTAAAAAGAACAACAACAACAACAACCAAGTCTTATCCCACAAAGTTGGATCGCCTACATGGATCAACTTCCACCGTAATGTTCTATCCAGGACCATGCTTATATCCAAATCATTACTCTCGAAATCTTTCTTAATAACTTATGGTTTTTCTAGGCCTTCCTCTATCTCTAGCTGTTTGTCTTCTCTTCATCTGGCCTACTCTCCTAACCACGGAATCTACAGGTTTTCTACTATAGGTGTTACCCCAACACTCTCTAATATTCTTATCCTGTCTGGGAGGGTAAGCTATTCTTTTGATGGGTCTGAGGGTAAGATATTAAACTATTTAGGAATCATATGATGAGCAAGAAATGATGATTTGACTGGTTTTTATCAAATTTAACTAGTTATCTAATCCTTCTAGATGTGCTGTCCAGATATTGTCATTTTGCTCCAATCAGCAAGTAGGTATATCTGAGATTAGAAGAACTTTATTCTGTAATAAGATTGGTATATGCATTTTGCACACACCTTTTTAATATTCAGTTAAGAAAAATATATTTTGCTAACCAACTTATAAATCACATTCGTATAATACAATCACATCTGGCAGGCACCATACCGGCAAAACTTCTCTTACAACTCACAACTGCATTTCGAGAGCGTGGTTTATGTAATAGGAACGGAACATTTTTTTACAAGGACCATCTACACAAAAGCAACGTACCTATTTTAGCTATTGCTGGAGACAAGGATCTGATTTGTCCACCTGAAGCCGTGGAAGGTATTTTTCGTATCCTAGTTGTAGATATTTTATTTTCCTGATGGGCTTTAAGAAATCAATATTCTCAAAGGTATTTTTGTATGATCAGATACTGTTAAACTAATTCCGGAGCACCTAGTTACCTATAAAGTTTTTGGAGATCCCGAAGGCCCGCATTATGCTCATTATGATTTGGTTGGAGGAAGACTGGTATTACCTTACTCCCTTTACTTTCATTCTTAAGTTTATTTTAGATTGGAAAATGGTTGTTGATATCACATAATTTTGTAGAGTAAATAGTCACAAATAATCGGTATATGTTTTTTTTAAAACCTATTGCTGCTTTTATTGTGATGTTTATTATGCATATATATTGAATGCAGGCGGTGGAGCAAGTATATCCCAGTATAATTGAATTTCTTAGTTGTCACGACGAGAAATAATGGACACCAATCTCCATTGATTCATCAAATATATTCTTCTTTGGTCATGCTTGATAATCATTCCTAACAGGTCTGAGTTTCTTGTCGCCTTCTGTACATCCCCTTAGATATCTTATACAGCACTCACCAAAGGCTGTTGATGCTACTCGCAAGACCATTTATCTGGTCGTTTTAGCAGAAAGTTAGAAGAATTTATAGCCCTTTCGAGTTTCGTGCATTCTGAAGGCTGAATTACTACCAAAGATATAGTTAGTTACAGGAATTACAAGTCAATAGTCCTTTAGAAAAAATTTCAGCATTGCTGCTGATTTTTTATAATATTCATGTACAGAACATCTTAGTTTCTTGAATGTATATTGGCCTATATAAGTTCAAATGTAACACTTTTAGGAGGGCTTTTGATTTCTCCTTTTTTTCCCTCTCTTAATAATTGAACCAAACAAACCCTTAGACATGATTTGGAACATGTAAGAGACAGACTGTCGTCACTAGATGAAAAGGTTACTGTATGTCGATAGCAAGAAGATAAAAAACTAGATTCATGACCATTGTTTCTTTGCCAGCAAGAGATCTCAATAATGGGTTCACCTTCTACATTGTCTTGAAGGGTCCCTCCATTGTTGATCTTGACATCTCAATAAATATCTAAATCAATCCTTGACTCTATCTGAAACTTTACACCTAGATACTAGTTCTCCTCTGGAAGTGGGTGCAATAATTATCATTTTGCTAAATGCTAATACTTTATCATACACATAGGTTTAGAAAATTGTTTTCTGAATTCTATTCTATAATTCAGAAGTTTAACTAGTAAAGCACCACTTTTTTTACTTGTAATGTAACCCAAAAACAAGAGAAATAAAAGTGTTGGTATCAAAAAGCAGGCTGGTGTGGGATGCTGGAATCCAACCAAATCGCTCTTCCCTTGGAAAGTGGCAGTCATGTCAAATAGTATGAAGATAACTCAAACAGATGTTCTAAAATTAGAGAACTTTATGCTTATATCTTATCCATTGTCACTTTGTTCAACTTTTTTTGATTATAAGTACAGTGACATCTCTTGAAAGTAAATAAGTGGGATGTTGCACGTTTGAATTTGTGTCATGTAGTATGATGATTTTACTTTTTTATACTACACAGTTATCAACTGAGCTGTTTAATATGAATTAGACGTGATTTATGTTTTCAAAGATAAATAGTTATATTCCTTCCATTTCTATTTCAAAATGACTGTCGTTTAAAGTTTTTGTATTCAAATTAAGGAATACAATGGTGTTATCATAAGACATTACACTTTTATAAAATTAACTCTATTATTGAAACTAGTGTAGAGAGTAAAAATAAAAGGACACAATTGAAAAAATAGTAATCATTATTACATTGAAAAGTGAGAATGACAGTGATTTTTTACTTTTTCCTTATCGTCAATTATTTTTATGGGCTACTTTGGACAGGTTATGAAAATAACTTTTAAACATAATATAAATTATTTTCTTAAACTACTTACTATAATAATAGATAAATTAAAAGAAATAAATATATTACTGTTTAGTAAACTTCCAAAAGTACATTAATGATTTTTTTTAAGAAATTTGAAATTCATTGTTTTGAAATTCTTTGTGTTAGGATAGAATATTAAGATGATTTATTTTTAAAAAATTGAAGTTTAATTCGGACAAAATACTTATTGATTTTCACAATTTTAACAATTTTTTATTTTTTGTTAAAAAAATGTGTCCAAATTATTTTAAATTTCCTCCAAACATTATATTTCCTCCTTAAAATGATTTATCAAAGTACACTAATAATCAAGTTTATTTTCAAAAGTCCAAGCACTAAACTCTAATAATTAAGTTTATTTTCAAAAGTCCAAGCACAAAACTCTAGTATAATCAAGTTTACTTTCATAATTCCAAACACTAAACTCCAAACTCTTTTTATTAAACACTTTCACGGAAGTTAGCGAATCTCTTCAAGAGTGTGTTTGGACTAACAATATGATTTTGATTAACGGAATAATTTATAGGTTTAATGTAGCCTTTGCACCAACACTTCTGAAAAAATATGTTTTTTTGTCGTATTGGTGTTTAAAATCAATTCTAATATTTATAATTATGTCTATTTTATTTAATTTTTAAATTATTATCAGTATTGGCGTCTGTTGTTGGTGTCATGTTTTGGACGTCAAAGCTTTAAAAATTTGTAGTACTACTTATGCTAGTAGTGCATGCACCAACCATACCTTAATTACACTGAAACTTGTGCTACTAAATTTCTGATACCTCAGTTATGATAAATGTATTGCCAGAAGGGTACATCATTACCTTCAATGTTGACATAACATTTTCCATTTACTGTCACAAAATGAAAAATAGACACAAGATTCTGAACATTTGTAGCAATGTTAGGTAGCATAATCCAGAATAACTTCTGTAAAGGATCAATTTCTCCATATCTTGTTCTTTTGCTGTTTTGTTTTTACCATGTCTTCCATGTTGACAGTAACAGAAGATAAGCTTTATGCATTCAATGATTAATAATGGAGTAGGTTTTCTTGTCTTCCATGTGCTTTTCCAATTTCATTTTCGATAAGGATAAAAAAGTTTCAGTATAAATATGTTAAGTTTAGTAATGAAACTCATAGGCATTGACTAGTACTAAAATTCAATGGACTCGAATTCATCTAGCTTTCTTTTGAACTCTTCGAATTTTCACTCGGTTTTCTACCAGCATAAACACGATGACGGCATAATTGATCTTGGTCTTAGTCTCGGAACGGTTCATTATGATGCTTATAATTCTTCAACCAACTGTATGAGTTCTTTTTCTTATTTTTGGTTGTGTTTTGTTTACTTTTATGATAAAAACAATCTTAGTCATGTTAATGAAAATGATGTTTGGTTTGGTTTGGTTTTGATTCAGTGTATGATGATGACATTATGGAATGGCCTAATGTCAAGAATTCAAGCACGGCGCATTCGAGATCTGTTCAAGAAAGCTTTGATGAAGAGATAGAGGGGGTTCAGAGTAATGAGAGATGGGCTTATGTGAAGGTTAACATGGATGGAGTCTCCATTGGTAGGAAAATTTGTATTCTTGATCATGGAGGATATTCAAGTCTAGCAATTCAATTAGAGGATATGTTTGGTAAGCAGTCTCAATAATGACTTTTTCCTAGAATCGTTTATTATTATATTTTTAACTGATTGCATTATTCAGGTAGTCAAACAGTTTCTGGTATAAGATTGTTTCAATCTGGATCAGAGTATTCATTATTCTATAAAGATAGAGAAGATAATTGGAGAGCTGTTGGTGATGTTCTTTGGAAGTATGTACTTATCCTCTTACATTCTTTAGTTGAATAATAATATCTGACTGACTAATATGTCTGATAGAAAATGTGTCTGATGTCTGACATAAGACAGTCAATGTGTGTTGTGTTTGGTTTTCGTGTTAAATGTGTATTTTGTAGGTAATTGTTCTAACTTTTTTTTTTTAAGCAGAGAGTTTGTAGAATGCGTGAAAAGGCTAAGGATTGCAAGAAAGAATGAAGGCTATGTTAATTGAATTGTTTTGATGAGTTTGAGTAGAGTTGTGTGAACTCTTTGACCATGTAATAGTAATTAGATGCATTAAACTCTTTGCACGAGCTGTTTTAGATATGGTTAGTTTGTGGAAAATTGAATGTGGTAATGAATCTAAGGACTTTGATGCTTCAACACTTGGTGACTTGTGTAACACGTTTTTGTTTCAATAGATTCCTAACAAATCAGAACTTTAGGATCAGAACATCATTTTTTTATTAGTAGTTGATTACGTACAAACAACGGTCTCAAATTGATTTCATTAACTAGGACATGTTACTACTCCTTCATTTCCACCACACCAAGTAAGGAGTATGGATATTTGCTTTACTTTCTGAACAATCGCGTAAAATGAGTTAGACATTACATTTTAATCAAAAACTAGACATTACATCTATGAATTACACATTAATAGTTAGACTTTACGTCTTAACTCAAAATCTTAAGGCATTACGCCTATGAAATACACCATCGTTATGCACCACTGTTGTTTACGGAAATTAAAGGATCCTAGTCTAATCGGACTCAAATACCATTGTTAGGTCATAAGGGCGTCTAGAGATCATCACATTCAACGCCATTCTTTTTCATGTGTAGTTTGTACTGAAATACTGGACCCCAATTTTTGAAGGTGTAATTATTATTTTTAATTACAAAAGCAATAGATTTTACATATGTTTTTTTTAAAAGTATAAAGTTATAATTTATTTTCACATTTATGATTTTATACCGGTTTTTTAAAAGCAAGTGTAAAGTCAGAATTTTTAAAATTGTTTTTCTTTTAATTTAGGCATATTTTTAAATTATAACAAGGTCTTTGGATTGATTGGTCGATTCTGATCACATTAAACTTTGAACATTCACATAAAATAGTTTGGACACACATCTTCATCCAAAATCTTTAACGCATTAGTCTAAGAGTCTTTTCACTTATAAAATATTCGACACTCACTTTTTCATTAAATCTGCAAATTCATACTTTTATCTTTTATTTGATATACCAAAACTTCTTCACATTACAACCAACTAATATTGAAATTAATTGATGTGGAATGGATCGACAACTTAATCAATGACGACTAACAATAAAGGATTTGTTTGTTTGAGTTTTTAAAAAAAATAATTTTTATAGTGTAACATAGTTGTGTAAAACAATTATAAAGAAATTTTTCATAAAAGTTTCAAATAAAAATTTGATTTGAATAATTAGTCTTAATTTTTTCTAATCAATGAATTTTGATTAACTCAAAAAATAATAAGTACAAGACGGTCTCTCGAATCTAGCCCAAACAACTATAGAAAGACAAAGAAAACCTACCACAAAGCTAATTCATCAAAAGAGTAGTTATGTGTTTTCTAAGTTTCGTATTGGTCTAACCCCTATACACAATCATATCTATAATTTTATCTTCTTTGTGATTATTATGTACACTAATACCATAGCTTTTCTTATTTCTATACTTCCATAATTCATATAGCAAGCTTTATCATAGCAGCTCTACACCCCTTTATTTTGCCCTGTTGAGTAAACCAGCTTAACTCATGACTCCACCCAACAGAATCATGTTGCACTTGAATCCACTCTAGAACCTTTCTCCAAATATTCCTCATACTATGACATTCAAACAGCGGGTGTTGAAGCGTATTAGAGGGTAATTTAGTATTTGCCGTTTTTGAATATTCTCTTTTAGGGCCTACGTGGCATTCTTATCTTTACTATTTTTGTGTATAAATAGGTGTACTAGGTTTCATTTAATACAATCAATCCTCTTCTAATTATTTGTGGCAGCTTTATAGCATTTACCATTTTCTCTCTTCTTCCTCAATTTCATCACATTTCACCAATAAATTAGTATCTAGAGCTCTTGGTTTATTCTGAAATTCTGGGAAACACTAGTGATGGTGAGCTGTGTGTTTGATTTTTGGTTCCTAATTTCTGTTGAATCTTGAACAAAAATCTGAACAGAATCACACTGATTCTGTGGGTTTAGGAAACACTGAGTGAGAATTTGAGATCTGAAATTTGTGCAAGGTTTAAGATGAGTGGAGGCAGCAGTTTGAACACTAAACTTCCAGTTTTTGATGGCAAAAGCTGAAACAGATGGATGATACAGATGCGTGTATTGTTTGGTGCTCAGGATGTTCTGGATCTTGTTACTGATGGTTATATTCTAGTTGCAGCAGATGCTACTAAAGAACAAAGATCTGCAGAAAGAGCTACAAGGAAGAGGGATCAGAAAGCTATGTTCTATATCCATCAGTGTGTGGATGAAAGTGTGTTTGAGAAGATTGTTGATTCGACGATGTCGAAAGAGGCATGGGATATACTGATCAGATGTTATGGTGGTGACGCGTCAGTAAATAAGGTAAAGCTTTAATCTCTACGAAAGCAATATGAGAATCTCAACATGAAGAACAATGAGAAAGTTTCTGAGTACATCTCCAGAATGATTCTGAACACTAATGAGATAAAAGCTTGTGGAGAAACACTTTCTGAATAGGTAACCATAGAGAAGATTCTGAGGTCACTTACTCCTCAGTTTGATTACATTGTTGTTTCTATTGAACATTCTAAAAATCTGGAAACCATGAGAATAGAAGAGTTGCAAAGCAGTCTAGAAGCGCATGAGCTGCGTCTGACTGAAAGAACTTCTGAGAGGGAAGTGGAGCAAGCTCTGAAGGCTTCTTTTATCAAGAAGGACCAGAAGCAGAATAGACGTGGTGATAAATTCCAGAAGTCAGAAACCTCAACTTCTAATGAAAAGAAATATCATAAGGGAAAGGAAAGGTATGACAAGAAGAAGGTTTAATGTTATTGTTGTAAATAGTTTGGCCATTTTGCCACAGATTATAGAAACAGAGCAAGGAAATCAAAAGAAACAAATATAGCCAGAGGAGATTCTGATGATGAACCTGTGCTACTGATGGCTTCTAATTCTGATGGAAATTGTTCAGAAGATTGGTGGTATATGGACATTGGCTGTTAAAATCACTTGATTGAGAACAAACAATGACTGATAGACTTTGACTCCAGAAGGAGAACAAAGATCAGATATGCTGATGATAAGTATCTTAATGCAGAAGGTATGGGAAATGTCAGAGTCAGAGTGAAGAATGGAAAAAACATTCTGATCAAACATGTTTGGTATGTTCCCGAAATTAAAAGCAATCTGATGAGTGTGGGTCAGCTCATTGAGAAAGGTTTCTTAATGGTTATGAAGGACAACCTCTTGACGTTATATGATTCTAATCAGAAGTTGATTATGAAGTCTGAGCAGGGAAGAAACAGAACATTCAAGGTGAATGTATAAATAGCTGAAGCAGAGTGTCTTAGTGCAGAAGGCGTTGAAGGTGATAGTAAGTTGTGGCACAAGAGGTTGGGGCACTTGAACTATAGAAGCTTAGGGCATCTAAGTTCTAAGAAGCTTGTACATGGCATTTCGAAGATTGTGAAGCCTCAGAAGTCATGTGAGATACGCATGAAAGGCAAGCAACCTAGATTTCCATTTGCATCAGAAGTAGCCCCCAGAGCAAACAATGCTTTAGGAGTAGTACATTCTGATGTGTGTGGACCATTTCCAGTATCTTCACTTGGAGGAAACAAATATTTTGTGTCTTTTGTGGATGAGTTCACAAGAATGACATGAGTAACACTCATCAAGTTCAAGCATGAAGTGTTTACTGAGTTCCAGAAGTTCAAGGTGAAGGCTGAGAAGAAGAGTGGTCAGAAGCTAAAGATTTTGAGAACGAATGATGGAGGTGAGTATAACTCTACAGAGTTCCAAAAGTTTTGTGAGGAGAATGAAATAGAACATGAGGTTAATGCTCCATATACTCCTCAACATAATGGTCTTGCTGAAAGAAGAAACATAACTTTGCTTGATATGACCAGAAGTATGCTGAAAGAGAAGAAGCTACCTCACATGTTATGGGGAGAAGCTGTTGCTACATCAACATATGTTCTGAATAAGTGTCCAACGAAGAAGCTGGTAGAAATTGTTCCTTTAGAAAAGTGGACTGGAGACAAGCAAAGTGCTAGCCATCTGAGGGTGTTTGGTTTTGTATGCTACAAACACGTTCCAAAAGCTAGAAGACAGAAACTGGATGATAGAAGCAAAGTAATGTTACTGGTGGGGTACCACAATACAGGTTCCTATAAGCTTTATTGTCCAGAAACTAACAAATTTGAAATCAGCAGAGACGTTATTGTGAAAGAGTCAGAAACATGGGATTAGAATAAGTTTCAATCAGATTTTGGTGTAGCGCCAACACTAGAGTTAGTTTCTGAAGATTCTTCAGGAAGTTCTAAAGACGAGTCAGAGTCAGAAGATGAATCTGAAGACTCTGAAGATGAGTCAGAATCTCCGGGAGATTCTAATAGTGGATCTGATTTTGATTCAGATTCTGATGATGATCCAGAATCTGGTGGTGATTATATTCCTGGAAGGAAAAACTCTAAAGACATAGGGCCTGGAGGACAAGCTTCCAGAAGTAACTCTAAAGGTGGTAATTCTGAAGGAAGTAGTTCTGGACAAGGTCTAAAAGCTAGCATTGTTTCGAGTTTTGGAGAAGCTTCAGAACAAGTTCAGAGGCCACGGAGAATCAGACAAATACCAAGTAAGTTTACAGATTTTAGCATGTTGCATGATACTGAAGTAGATTCTGAAGGATAAGTCGTTCAGTGTGCCATGTTAGTAGATTCTGAACCAGTGGGTGTAACACCCTCTAAAACCCCGCATAAAATTTCGTAAATAATTAAAATCATATATTCAGAGTACATGTATTAACGAGGATGTCACAATTCTCTTTTAATAAAAACAAGTTCCTGTCATGCATAACATAGAAGCAACTCATACATGTTTACACAGCGGAATATTATATTTAATAAAACCAAAGTTATAATATTTTCAATCATCAGGGGTTAACACCTGGAATATCTCAACATCATATTATAACCAAATATTAAGGAAATAAACGAGTCTG